ATTATACACTTGACCTATGTTGCTGTATGAAGTAGCCAAATCTGGATGATTCGAAGGCAGAGTTTTCTCGTCGATTTTAAGTGTTTTTTCGTAAAATTCAAGTGCTTTCGAGTAGTCACCCATGTTATTATACACTTGACCTATGTTGCTGTATGAAGTAGCCAAATCTGGATAATTCGAAGGCAGAGCTTTTTCGACGATTTTATGTGATTTTTCGTAAAATTCAAGTGCTTTCGAGTAGTCACCCATGTCGTTGTACACTAGAGCAATATTATTGTACGTAGGAGCCAATGAAGGATCATCTTTCGGAAGAGTTTTTCGGTAGATTTTCAGAGATTGTTCGTAAAATGCAACTGCTTCTTCATATTGTCCTTGATCGTTTTTCAAGAACCCGAGTTGATGATTAACATGTGCTGTATCACTATCATCCGATGCCTGTTCTAGTAGTGCCATATATAGTTCTTCGGCCTTGTCGAATTGACCTATTTTGAGTAACAATTTACCCATTCGGCGCCATCCGGTGCCGCTGACCTCTTTTCGTATAAAGTCAGTTAATTCTCGAAGTTGTGGATCATCATCTGACGTAAGTTGAAGATCGACTTGATAAAGTGCTCGATTGTTGTCAATTTTTCGCACGTCACCAATGCGAAAGACGGTGTGCATGGTGAAGAGAATTTCTTGTTCTTCTTTATAATAGCTCACCTCCTGAATGGAGGCGAATGGGGTCGATGAGACCGTGAGATCGCTCGTGATTTTAAAAAAAATACCCACTGTATCGGTTGCTGCTAGGTTACTTTCGGCGAAAAGGAAAGAAACATCACGATCTGTACTGGTTGATAAAAAGTTGTTAAAAGAAATCAGGCCACCTTTGTTTTCTGCGAGCTTTTCAAAGTCTACTTTCGATAGGCCTTGCCCTCGAAAGACTGTAAGAATCTTGTTCCGGTATTGGCTGACCTGATTTTTGTACAAGGTTTCGATTTGTCGATGTACATCACACAGGAAAAATCCCATTCGTATCATAATGTCGCCACTGAGTGCTCTTAATGCGCCATTCAACATTTTGTATGTGAAGCATTGGCGTGTATACCACCAAATGGCGTTGGATGCTTGATAAGTACGTTGAAATTCATTGATAATTTTGATTTCCTTTTTATTGCCTTGATATTGTTCTTGGCAGTAGGTGACCAAATCTTGGACGGCTTGTTGTTCATGTTCGATTTCAAGGAGTATTTCCTTGAATATTTGTGAATACATGAAAGAAGGTTCTAGCTGATCTAGATTCTTGCTAGAACCTCCTGCATTCACACTAACAATACTCACCGACATGTGATCTTGATTGTATTGTTTGATTGCTGTTGCCAATTTGTCACAAATATGTTTGATTGAGGTGTGAACACCTTTAATTTTCGGCCAATTTTGCGCCCATACTTGATGCCGTTGTTTATTGCCACAAAATATAAAAATGGCATTTAATTTTGCCATATCATGAATGTCCGGCACTAAATGTTGTCCAAGTGCACCTGAGGAGATAACAAATGAGATCTCCTCTTGATTTTCTGTGAGCTGTTGTATACATTGTTCAGCTGTCTTACACGGATTAACTTGATTGACGACAGCACGTAATTGTTCCATTGTATTTTGGCAATCTTGATTTGCCATGTCGATATTTCCATCGACCCATATGACCAAATAATTTTCAGCCATA